CAAAGCACTACTACTTTCGAGGATTGTAAATTTCTAGAAAATGTGATCTAAAATTCTTAAAGTCCAATAATTTAGCGAGTAATGAATGGCAAGGCTGCACCCAAAAGTGGGAGGCTGCATAGGTTACACATCCACTGGTAGGTCATGGAAAGCCAAGGCTGCTATAACGCATGAATTTGAGTTCTCTCTAAACAGAGGCTCGAGCGCCCAATTTGTGATTAAGTCATAGATCTAAGACTGGAACTAAAATTACAATCTAGTTGTCATTGCGATCGCCCAAATACCGCATCAACTACAATTTACTCGGAAAAGTGAGCAATGAAAGAGTAGCAAAATAGGATGCTAACCACCGCTTCATTTATAATTGGATGTCAAGTTGGTCTTATTTTAACACATACTATACATTGTAGGCTTTGGTTCAAAAGGAAAACCTTCCCGAAACCAACCATCTAACCTTATCGAGATACTTGCTGGTGGCCGATCCACTGTTGGCTATAATTTGTGCAATGGTTGGCGCAGTCCATAGGTCGCCTTTGAATTGGGTCCAGCATCCAGGCAAATCGCTGGTCATCAGTCGCTTTACCATAAAAGTCTTTGATACCTCCATTTCGGGGTTGATGAAGAAGCTCTCCTTTCCATGACCTACATCGTGTTTACAAGAGAGCCCATCAAACTGTGTAGTTGGTTAAAATCATTCATAACGAAATTAAGTTGTCAGACTTCTTAAATGCGCATCTCACTTTACTATGCATTTCATTAACGTTATTTTGCATCAAGCCTTGAAGCAAGGTACTACTTGCACCATCGTGGATAAAACTCAACAAATTAACCGGCTTTGCTTTTAGCCCTGTTGTGGAGTGCAAGAATTTCAACCCACTTTGGCCAACTTTTTCAATAACAAATGCCAGATCCTGTGGAACAGGCAAACTAGCGATTTCGGCAGCCGTGAGATTCCCTTCATAATCCATCTCTTCTTCATTTTCCTAAGAAAAATAAAATTAAGTGATTCAAAGGTGTTACGACCCGTTTGTCGGCAATGTGAATAAGTAGTGATTTTTTTAACTCAATTTTATTGTTAAAAGTTTGTCAAGTCTTACAAGCACCCCTTTTCCGCGAATGCATTAATTTTAGCATCATATGTAGCTGTTTTATGATAAGAGCCCAACCAAGGTATTTCTTGGAAAAGCATCCTCACTTCCAAAGTAATGGCCAAAGGAAAGAGCACTCACCTTCCACATTATCGCATCGCTCATGGACATCAACTAAAACGTTAAGAACGATTGATTATGATATATTATAATGGTCTTATCAGAATACAAGCAAAGCGCAGTCTAGCGTATATTGAAGAGAGCTAGTTCATTTTTAAGCTAAATAGTATGCTCTAGGCTCTAAAATATCTGTTAGCCACGACTTCTTCGGGGACGATTTACAGCTGCTCTGATTGGTCACTTTCTTTCGAGCTCCTCCCCTCCCCGCTCTTTAACCAACCACTTCCCTTCTCCCTGTTTCCGCAACCTCACCACCCTAACCGCGCCTTTCGTCGATGCACCCCACTCAACACATTTGCTCAATCAAAGCCTGAATCTTATTTAATGCGACAGTCAGCTCATCGCTCTTACACCAACTTCGGTGTGGTACCAACTGGTTCAAAAGCCACTGTAAAAGCTTTCCAATGCCTTGAGAAAGTGGTATTGTACCTATTAATGCTGAAGACACTGACCTCCAAAGGCGGACAAAAGCGCGAACACACAAAGTTCACTAATTATGCTTAAGTCGCCCAAGGTTATGCATTCATTTATGACAACAAAGCCTGCTTATTGCGGCAGTGAAGAAGTCACAACACAGCAAACAGTTATTTGAGTATCTTCAAATGAGCAGTAGCGCAACTCCTAAAATCACACCCATTCAAAGTCGAACGCAATCCACGATAGGCGAGAGCACAAAGTGGTGAACGCATACCGAGGTAATATTGGCGATCTTCAGGGCACCACCACCGCGGAGGGTTGCGTCACGATAGAATCAATTAAGTGAGCGCCTGCACGCGCCTACGAAAGCCTCACAAACTAAACACCCACCCTATTCCCCTTAATAAGAGGCTCTCAATTGCTGTGTGAGTGTAGCCGAAGGGCTTCATGCGAGGACTCGAAATGACGACATCAGATTAAGAAAGCACACATACGCAAAATGGCTCTGATTCTCTGCCTGGTCTTGGTCACCGTCTTAAAATTGCTTATCAAAGATAACACTAGAATCTAACTCTTGATAGCAGCAAGGTGGTTTCCAAAATCTAAAGGAATGTAACGGTGGTAAATTGGTTGGAACTGCTCTATTTCCTGACGTTAGATGGGGTTAATAAAGCTTTAGACACAAATGACAGGCAATTGAGGTTCTTCTCACGCGTCATACGCATAAAATATTAATGTAGAGTTGGAAGGGGAAGAAGAAGAGAATGGGAATTCTCATATGACAGCAAAGCAACGCACATTTAAAGCAATTTAATCAAAACTGTGCCTGTTTTTGAGAACCACTTATGCGCATATGCCTGTGTGGCGATTTAGGCAGAAGCAATAAAAAGTGATGATACGTGATTAGGCCCTTCGTAAGTGAAAGGAAGTTATGGAAACATGCGATACAACTGGCGATCACAATCGGTTTTATTAGCATTAGCGAGTTCCGACTTAAGCAGATTATGTTTACCATCGATGGTTCTGTCGACTGAAGCTAAATACGAATTCACGTTGATAAAGGTGGCATCAGGAATGAAGAAGCAACTTGGGCCTTATATTATTTTCTTCTCATATTGTGCTATTGACTCCTTAAGGCTCAACCTAAATGCCTCAATCACGTACCGGTGCAGGAATCCTGATTCGCATCAGTAACTTCTGATTCTTCTTTCTGAAAAGCACAACAATTATTTTCAGCCTCTCGCACTCATAACTCAGCATCATTCACCTGCAGTGCCACACGCCAAACCTCAAATCTCTGTAGCGCTCTTAAAATCATTAAATTGGAAAAATAACCTTTGAAACTTACGCAACATTATTAGGGATACCTAATGCTGACGTGCATTTTTCTTAAATATTAACGATGTAAACCTTGGTCGAAAGAGGTGTTTTGCTATTTTGCCAGAACTAGGAAAGAGGCGGAGCCTAAGAATAAAATCACAGCGCACCGAGCAAGGTAACCTCTGAAGACGGCCTGAATAAGAGTGGCAGCGTTATTTCTTGCTCGATCCAGTTGACCGAGGGCTCGACGGCGCCAGGCGCGTTGGATGATGCGCGCCGCTTGGACGTGTCTACGCCGACGGATGCTTTCCAGCTGGTCAGCCAACTCTTGGCGCAAGAAGACCTTGGTGCGGCCGACTTCATAATCCTGACCCAGTTTCACTGAACTGGACGAGACCAGGATTTTATTTACATTGTTGAGAAGAGACTGTGTGCGTTGCTTCAGATCAGGGATACTTGTCACCTGTTGGAAGGTCTGGCGATCCAGGAGTGAAGCGTAACTATGAATAACCAAATAGCAGCATTTTTACATTCAATTATGAACAAAATTTCGACTCACAATTTATGCCTTTTTAAGCTCATCCACGGCATTTACGCAGGCATCCTGCCAAACCTGCCAAACAATGAATGCAAAGGCCTCTTTTCGCTGTAATCGGCGTATGTCACTCGCTTACCCACCATTTTTACTGGCTTCCAGAAAGGGCAAGCAAGTCGACACCTAATAATAAAATGCTCAACCACATGTCTAGCGCAAATGAAAGTCTAAATCGCGCCCACTATAATAATTAATAGGAGGTGCATCATGAGAAATTGCTGTGACTTGTATACTCCATCTGTTCTCAGTAGGCGATGTACTAATGCAGTCTGTAACTTCTAGAGGTACATGCAAAGCCTTCAAATTCACTTCTGATCAGTATGGAAATAAGTCCCACCCATGAACACTTGTAAGCGAATGCGTTTTTTCGATCACCAACTTTAACACAAAGGTTGGTTGGGACTGCTCCATGCAGGAAACGATACAAAGTGTAAAGGTTGGGCCAGCGCCCCACCAATAATGAGAATCGGAACGCCATACTGGCAACGCCTAAAGTGAACTTGGTGAAATTTCTGACAAGAACACAAAGCACAACACAAATCGGAGCCATTGAGTTGAACCAGTTAGAGCTGGCGTCACAGATTCGCCGTCTGGGTTGGGCGTGTCTGTAGCTCTGACACACACGCGGATGAATCAGGTTGCAGCACCTACCACCCTACTCACGCCACTTCAACCTTCTTCGTGAGGTGAATCAAGTGCAACTTAAAAATCATCTCGACTTCTGCTTAATCAACTGCCACTGTCAGTGTGCAGACATTGAACAAACACTTAAAAGCCAAAGAGTCATTCATTGCTTTCTCTCACTAATCGCATTGCAGAATCCACAAACTTCAGTTACAGCACTTTATAGGAACAAAAAAGGTTTAAATATTTACGCACTCATGGATATATGGGCTTAAGCACCATGCAAACTGATGATGCTACCTGTCACCTGTTTAGTTTTCACAAATATTATATCAGGTTATTCGAATGCATTGTAATTCACCTTTAAGACCAACTTTTTAATAGCATACGACTTTTAACCAAAGGGCTGCAAATCCTTCTAGTGCAATTCGCTAACGAGCACCAACAGAGCATGGATTTAGGGAAGATGACAATGCATTGCATATACAGTCCAGTTTTACGAAAATGTGTGTTCCAATTGCAATCATAAAGGGGCTCATGCACACTGAACGAAGAGCATTCTGGAGGGAGCACGATTGGCATCTGCTGCACAACTCAAGTGGAGCCATGCATTGCGTGCGGCGGTTCCCAACCCTCAAATGGACACAGAAGGCAACAGAACAACTCACTTGTGCACAAACTGTTGGTAGGGAAGTCGCACAGGAAAACCGGAGCTTCGAATGCGCACAGTCTCAAGAATACCGATGTAGCGCAATTGCTCCATCACCATGGTATCCTCAAAGGTCATTGGCTTTTTATCTGGATTCGGTTTGATGCATCTAACAAACCACGGCCGTTTCCTGAAAATTAAATCAAACTATGGTTAGTCCAAAACACAAGTTTGCCATCTATAAAAAATAGATAGTATTCAAAGTGGTCTGGGCTCTACGACTCGATTGTTGGTCATAGGAATAGCACTTAACTTTTTACCTAAATGCTGAGTGATAAGAGTGATTCAACGAAACTGCAAAGCACAGAACAGGTACTTCGAACCAAGAAAAGCTATAATTATTTACTTAAAAGCGAACTTGATCATCGCTCCCAGTAGCTGGAATATTTTTGGGTCTTCTCACAGTTGAAACAGATTTGTGAGCAAATTATTTAGGAGTGGAGCGTTTTAGTTCAAGTCACGTTCCGTTCCAAATTTCTTGGTGGAAATTTTACGTTGGTTAATTTTGTTTTAGTAGAAAGCCGACTCACGTTTTCATGGTCTCCATGAGAGCTAGGAGTGAGGTGTGGAAGCTGTCAAGGAGGGTGGGTGAGCGTCCAATCCGCGAGGCTGGACCGCCG